GATCCACCAGCCACAGCGGGGGTCAGGGTGGCCCTCACAGGCCATAGTTCGCCAGACCTGCCCTAGCTCAAGCCCGTCCACGGCTCCTCTAGCCCCTGTGTGTCCAGGCTGACCACTTGGGCCCTTCCCCGCCTGAGCTCAGCTCCAGACCCCTCGAGCATACCCACCCCGCCCCCTGCCCCTTGCGGCTTTAATTTCTGCACTTGTCTCTCCCCTGGGAAACTCTCTCCTCTAGGCTTTTAAGCTTTTACTCACCTTCAAGTCCACTCCCTGTCACCTCCTCCGGGAAGTCAGCCGGGCCTCCCAGATGGATGGAGCTCAGTCTTCCTCTCCAGAGTCTGGCCAAAGCTGGTTTCTCTGGGGAGGGGGAGTGGTCTAGATTGGGGGCCTGATCCCCAACTGAGCTCCACCCCTGCCCTGGGCCTGATCAGCCCCCACTGGGCACAGCCCCATAAAAAGTAAGAGAAGTCTGGGAGGCAGCCAGGCCTGGGTGTGACCCTGACCTTGTTATTACTCGGGGGCCCTGGGGACTGTGTCTCCTGCTTGCTTCACTCCAGGATGGGAATGACAGGGTCGGGCTTGGCTGGGAGAGAAAACGGTTTCCCTTTCTCCCCAGGCTGGCTGCAGCCACCTTGGATGCTGATGGGGGAGGCAGAGTGTCTGATGGCAGGGGCACTCCCAGCTGAGTTGGGTGGCGGGAGCGGGGGGAGCTGAGCAGGGCTGACTCTTCCATCAGATGGGAAGGTCCAGAGGCTCTCTGGCCCTGAGGTTCTCTTCTCCCTACCCCCTGCAAAGTTGTGGAAAGTCGAGTCCAGGGAGGGCAGGGTTACCTGCAGGAAGTAGGTGGATCTGAGCCCGAGGGTAGGAGGTGGGGAAGAGGGGGGGAGGCTCCCCGGGGGCGGGCAGGCTGATGGCCAAGGTCATGCGTAAGTGGGGCATTTTATAGGTCTGGTTTATTTTGTTTGTGGGGCCACACCCTGCCCCGGGAACCCGGGGTGTTGGGGGGCCCCTGGGCCTGCACCGGCGCACTGAGCATCTCTCCCGCCCCACCAGGGCGTCTTGGGCCTCCAGCCGGACGCTGGGGTTGGGAGGCCGTGCTCACTGCTTGATGTTTCGTTTTGACGGGCTCAGGGGCCACACCCGGGGGTGCTTAGGGCTGACTCCTGGCTCAGTGCTCAGGAATCACTCCTGAGGTGGCTTGGGGGAACCTCACGCGGTGCCGGGGGTCAGTCCGGGCTCTGCACCCCTGTGCCCCTGCACTACCTCTCTGGCCTTATTTATTTCGAGGAGAGTGCCAAGCTCACTGGTCCCTCATCTCCTGCCCCCTGCAGAGGCTTTCTCTCACCCAGCCTATCACACTCCCCACTCCAGCACCTCATTCTGCTCTCTGAACCATCCCCCCCCCCCCCCCTTCCTGGGCTATGGCCTCCAGCCAGAAGGCAGCAGGAGGCCTGATTTCCCCTCCTGGAGACGCCCCCGGGGTGGCACCCCTCCTTCTCCCTCGCCCACGTGGGGCCCAGCTGGGGGTGCACCAGCTCAGCCAGTCTTGCCTGGCTGGGTAGCCAGGCCTGTCATTACCCCAGGTGGAGGCGGCTGGCATGGGGGGGGGGGGGCGGATTGGAGGAGGGTCCCGGGAGGGAGGGGCCACGGCAGGAAGCAGGGCTCCCCTCCATCCTGGGACCCGGCTTCTCTCCTGAGCCTGGCCTGCTGGACGCCTTAGGCCTGTGGGCCCCCGACCGGGTGGACAGCCAGGAGCATCGCCAAGTGTGGGCAGGACACCGCGTCACCTCCTTCCCCAGATGAGGAAATGTGGGAGCGTTTGGTCCCGTTGCCCAACCTGGGAACTGGGAGAGGCAGACTCAAACCAGGGAGGGCAGAGTCCCTGGCGGCCTGTCGGACTGCCCCCCGCCCCCTTGGCCTTTACCATAAGCTTCAGAAAGGAGATTCCCTTCTGGAACATTCCAGGGAGCTGGGCGGCACAGTGTCCAGCCCCCAGGAGTGGCCACTCCCCCCCCACCCCAGGACTTTCAGTGTCAGCAAACATTTTCCGCAGAGGGAGAACAGGATGGAGCTGGCCCTGTTGCCCGAGTGCGCTCCTGTGGGCGTTGTCTGGGCCCCGCCAGGGAGAAGGAGTTTTCATATGTTTTGGAGTCTGGAATTTCCTCAGCAGTGCCGGGGGTTCCGGGGCCCCCACCTCTACTCAGACAGGGTGCTTTGAAGTCAGCAGTGTGGGGCTGCACCCAAGGGTGCCTGGGGTACCCCTGCACCCAGGCGCACGCCCTGAGCCTCTGCCCAGCGCCGTCCAGACCAGGGCTCTCCTTTCCCTCCCATATGCTGCTTGGCCTGCTATGAATCGGGATGGAGGGATAATCCGAAGGGGGTCTGATTTGTCTGGCCATGTCTTCCTGTCCCTGAGAACTAGGAGTCCTGGTTCCCTGGGTCCACGTGCCTCTGTCCTCTGGGTTCTCCTGGACACCACGACAGGAGTCTGTGGGCAGAAGCCCTGGCCAGGAGCAGTAGGAGAACTCAGGGAACCGTCCTCCCTGGAGGTGTGTGTGTGGTGTGGTGTGTGTGGTGCATGGGATGTGTGTGGTGTATGGAGTGGAGTGTGTGTAGTGTATGGTGTATGGTGTGTGTGTGTGTTATGGTGTATGGCGTGTGTGGTGTATGAGGTGTGTGTGTGATGTATGAGGTGTGTGTGATGTGTGTGTGGTGTGTGGGATGTAGGGTGTGTATGTGTGTGTGTGTGTGTGTCTGGATACCCTGGGTGCTAGGTCCCAAATCATGTTCAGAGTTTTGCACATTGTCACCTGTCCCCTGCTGGGGGCTCTGGACTGGGGATGGAGGAGGGGCTAGCGGGTGACGGAAGGGGGCCCCAGTCTAGCCCAGAGTGAGAGCAGGGCCAGCACCCCAGCTCTGTGGCGTGACTCAGGCAATGCATGTTGGCAGACCAAAGGAGAAAGGCGGTGCCAGCCTGCCCTCCTGTCCCCGGAACAGGTGACAGGCGGCAGACGATTGCCTGGTGGCGCGGTCAAGTGTCCACCATAAGCTACAGACAGGGGCCAGGCCCAGGGCTGGGGTCAGAAAGGGTCAAAGCTGGGCTGAGGGTTTCCGGCCCCACGCCCCAGGTCTCCTGGAGGAAACCTCACGGTGCTGGTCCCTGGCAGCTCCCCGGGGCACCCCTCCCACTCCTTCACACCTGAGCTCACCCTCACACCCCCGCACCCCCCCTTGCTCCGTGTGCCCGGCTGCCCCTCACACAGGTGGAAAGTTTTGGGGCCCCACCTGCCCCCCTCTCCCCTCCCGCCCCCCTGCAGGGGCCCCACTTGGCTGCAGGCCAGAACAAACACAGGAAGTTGGCGGGCACAGTGCAAGGGGCGTGGGGACTGGCCCTCTGGCCCCCTCACTCCTGAGCTCAGATGACAGGAAGGGGGATTCAGGGGTCTCCCTCTCTGGGCCTCAGTTTATCACCTGTGCCCAGGCAGGAAGAATCCCGGGGCCAAGGGCAGGGGGGTGGCCGGCACAGGACCCAAGGCCCCGGGTCCCGAGGGAGCCAGTTCGGGACTGAGAAGGCTGAACTGCAGGTGTGGCTTTGGCAGAAACTGGCCTGTTTGTGTTGGTGCCTGTGTGTGTGCGCCACACGGGGCAGGGGTGGGGAGGTTCTGGGAAGCTGGGGAATGCCCGTGTTCTCCTCAAGCACCCACTGTGTGCCAGCCCCACGCAGGGCGCTGGTTCCTAGGTGTGGCTCCCCGTGTATGGGGGTGGAAAGGCAGATGGGTTATCAGTGGCCACTCTGGGCCCCGGCCCCCCACCCCCTGGACGGTTCAGCCCAGGAAGTTGAGGGGCCACAGGCTTGGGTCAGCGGGACCCCAGGGCCAGCTGGAGGCTCAAGGCTCCCTCCACAGGGACCCTCTTTTTCCAGGTTCCCCACCCACATCACCCCTGGTCCTCTTCCTTCTGGGGGTGCCGGAGCCCCAGTTCTGGTGCTCCGAATCTCGGGTGGGGCCAGATTCTCACCTGCACACCTTTGCCTTCTCTCTCCCCTCTCCCCAAACGCTTTCCTCAGGCTTTGCTGTCCTTACTCCTCCGGGGACCCCATTCGAGGTGACCTCTGCAGCACCCCCCCAGCCGGAGACCCTGCCCAGTGCCCTGCTCCCACGCCGGCCGGTTGTCCCTCGGTCCTCGGAGGCCTTGGGGACTTTGCACCCAGAAGGGCTCAGAAGACAAAAGGTTGAGTCAACATGGGCTTCCGCAGCGTCCCCAGACCCGCTCCCTCACCCTCGGTCCCTTCCTCCACCCGGCTCTGGGCGGGCTAGGGGGAAATGCACCCCCAAAGCATGTCTGGGGGGGGTGAGACTGGGGGACAGTGGTGTGAAGAGGGGAGTGAAGGCGTGACCCCAGACTGGGCCAGCTGGGGAGGCTGCAGCATGGAGAACATACAGGGATGAGCAGGGACACCCCCCCCCCAAACTCAGGGGGACGGCATCCCCGGGCTGCCCAGCCCAGCCCGGCCTGGAGGAGCTCTCGGCTATGGGGATCCAGAGCCCAGGGCGGTGGGTGACTCAGGGGCTCTAACTCCCAGCTGACCTCAGTGAGGACTTGGGGGCAGGGGCGCGGAGTTTCCTCCGAGACTGGCTCCCCGGGGGTGACTCAGGAGGGGGGGGGGGGCCTTTGTGGCCAGGCTCTGGAATCTGGAGGAACTGGTCAAGGGCCGTCACCGGGGTGAAGCCCCTCCCTCCGCCCCCGCCCATCTGCGCGCCGACATATAACCCAGGGCTCCGCCGCCGGCACCTGAGACCTCGCGCGGGCGAAGATCTGCTCTGGCACGCCCTTAGGTGCTTCCGACTCGACCCAGGACAGAGGACACAGGCGCGGCGGCACAGAGCAGGACTTCGTCTTCCTCCGGACCGGGCCTCCTCCCCGCGCCGCTGACGCCGAGCCCCATCCCGGGCGCGCAGGTCCCGACGGTGCCCCCCGCGCCGGCCAGGCACCCTCCGGCCATGGCTTCCATGGGGCTGCAGGTGATGGGCATCGCGCTGGCCGTGCTGGGCTGGCTGGGCGCCATCCTGAGCTGCGCGCTGCCCATGTGGCGCGTGACGGCCTTCATCGGCAGCAACATCGTCACGTCGCAGACCATCTGGGAGGGCCTGTGGATGAACTGCGTGGTGCAGAGCACCGGGCAGATGCAGTGCAAGGTGTACGACTCGCTGCTGGCGCTGCCGCAGGACCTGCAGGCGGCGCGCGCGCTCATCGTCATCAGCATCGTGGTGGCCGTGCTGGGCGTGCTGCTGTCCGTGGTGGGCGGCAAGTGCACCAACTGCGTGGAGGACGAGGGCGCCAAGGCCAAGACCATGATCGTGGCGGGCGTGGTGTTCCTGCTGGCCGGCCTGCTGGTGATGGTGCCCGTGTCCTGGACGGCCCACAACGTCATCCGCGACTTCTACAACCCGCTGGTGTCGGCGGGCCAGAAGCGGGAGATGGGCGCCGGCCTGTACATCGGCTGGGCCGCGTCGGGGCTGCTGCTGCTGGGCGGGGCGCTGCTGTGCTGCAACTGCCCGCCGCGCGCCGACAAGCCCTACTCGGCCAAGTACTCGGCCGCGCGCTCCGGCCCGGCCAGCAACTACGTCTAGGCGGCCGCCGGCTCGGGGCTGCTCCCGAGGGACTCTGCGCCCGCGGGAGGGACCCGCTCCTCCCCGGGCCGCACGGATGGACCGAGGCGCGCGGCGCCCCGGGAGCGCCGGGGGCGTGGCCAGGGAGGTGCGGACTCGGGGGCGTGGCCCGAGAGGTGCGGACTCGGGGCGGGGCCCAAAGGCGTGGCCAGGGGCGGGGCCCGAAGGGCGGTCCGGGGCCGTGGCCGCTCCGCCGAAGGGCGAGGACTGCTGGCACCTGCTGGCCAGGGTAGCTGGACCCTCCGGCTTCGGCTCTGAGCTGGTGGGTGCCCTGCCCACGCAGTGTTGGCCAGGGTCCCTGCTTTGACTCCGCCTCCCGCCGCCGGCCTCCACCCCCCTCATCCCCCATCTCGGGATGGGTCTGTGAGCACTGAACTGTATCTGGCCTGGAGAATTCCAGGGCAGGGAGCAAAGTGGACAGACGGGTTTCGAGGGGACGGTAAAGGTGCTACCGACTGGTTTGGGAAGTGGTGAAGGGTGGTGGAGGCGCCCGACTGGGGACACCCCCCCCCCCTTGGCCCTTCCCATCGCCCCCTCCCTCACCCCCACAGCCACAGGGATGGGGCCAGGCGGCTTCAAGCTCCTTGCCACTGGCCACCCTGGATGGAACCGCTGTCCCCCGCCAAGGTCAATGGCCTGCCCAGGGAGGGCGGGGGTGGAGTTGGGGTCTGTCTTCTCCTGCCTGGACTCTTGCCCCTTCCTCCTCCGCGGTTTATTTTGTAATTTAAGATCTGTTTGTCATGGCAGTTACACTATTATTTTCTACAATAAATGGACTTGTGAAATGTCAGGTTGCTTCTTCTACCTGGGGCGGGCTGGGACACCCGTCCCCAGCTCGAGAGCACGTGCCTCTCACGGGAGAGGGTTGGGGGAGGGGGGGCCAGCAGGGAAGATCAAACTAAACTGGTTCTGGGAAACTACACAGAGCTGGCCGTGACCTTCAGCGCCACCTTGTCCAAGGCCATGCTTGTTGGAAGGGAAAACTGACTACAGGAACCTGGGGTGTGCCCAGGAAACCTTGCCTGGGAAGGAACAAAGACCAAGAGGACAGCCACCTGTCGTGTCCCCCCCCCCCCAGGCTGGGGCCAGCTTGGGCTGGGCAGCCAGGCTGGTCTGGCCACCTCTGGGCTCCTGCTGGCTGTCCCTGCCGGCCTCCACCCTCCCCTCGGAATCCTGCCTGTCAGTCCTTGCCCACACCCTGCCCTGAACTTGGGGTTCCAACCCCTTCACAAGAGGGAACTGAGTCAGGACAGGAACATGAAAGTGACTGGGGTAGATGTGAGGGTGTGGGTCAGGGGTGAGGGAGCCCATGATGCCTGGGGGGAGGATCAGAGAAAGCCCTCTGGATGCCAACCACGTGGGTTCCAGGAGAGGGGACCCTCGGCCCTTCCCTTTGTGTCCCCGCCCTGCTTGCTACATGCACAGCACTGGTGTCCGCTACCCCTTCTGAGCCTCCTTTAATGGACAGGCGTTCTGGGGTGGAGGGCAGGGGTGGTAGGTCCTCCCCACCCCCCCACCCCGCGGCAGGCAGAGCAGAGGCCAGGCCTGGCATCAGTCTTGCGGTGGCCGGGGCTGGGGCCAAGGTCTCTGGAACTGAGCCTGGATGGGCTGCTGGCTCCGGCGGTACAGGTATATGATGCCTGAGATGAAGCTGGGGTTGTCCGGAGAGCCTGAGGGGCCCGAAACTGCCTCACTCTCCGATGTGGCCAGCTCCCACTGGTCCACGGGCATGGACACCAGGCGCTCCCAGGCCCCGGCCTGTTCCAACATGTCCAGCATGGCCTCCATGGAGATCTTGTACGAGAGGTTGGACGGGTTGGTCCTTGTGGTGAGACACAGCAGCCCCCCTGGTGGGGAGGGAGGGGGTGAGCGGGGAGGGGCAGGAGCCGAGGTCCCCGGCCTGTGTGGGGGTGGGGCTTGACCTGACCCCCAGGACCTGACTTCACCAGCCTGCGCGGGACCCAAGGTCTCCCCCTGCCCACACTCTTTGCGTCGCCGAGAGCAACGCAAGGCCTCTTCCGGGAGGGCGCCCATCCTGCTGAGTCTCTGAATGGTGGGGGCACCCCCTCAGAGCAAGAACTGCGGACTTTGGAGCCTGGGCATACTCTCTGGGCCGGTAAGCGTCTCGGCTGGCAGTGCAGAGATGGGAGGGAGGCGGTATGAATGAAGGAGCAGCCTGGCCCTGCTCATATTCTCCAACACAGACAGGAGGCCCTGTGCAGTCTCTGAGTCCCTCGGGAGAGTGGAGGGCTTCCTGGAGGAGGAGGCGGGAGGAGCAGGTGCAACAGGCAGAGGCTGGGCAGTGTATCCCACCGCAGATAGGCTGAAGGGGTTGTGGCTGAGAGAGCAGGCGAGCAGGCGTGTGTGCATGCGTGGATGTGTCTGCACACAGGGGAGTGTGAATGTGGATTTGCGTGCATGTGTGTGTGGTGTAAATGTGTTTCCCTCTGATTGTGTCTGTGTGTGCTCACACGTGTGAATGAGTGTGCATGAACCTGTGTTGGTGTGTGCGTGCATGTGTGTATCTGTGTCTATGTGCACACACGTTTGAACGAGTGCTTGTGAATGTCTGTGTGTGCACGTCTGTCTGTGTGTGTGCACATGTGTTAAGGGGCTGGAGCAATAGCACAGCGGGTAGGGCGTCCGCCTTGTACGTGGCTGACCCAGGTTCGATTCCCAGCATCCCATATGGTCCCCTGAGCACCGCCAGGGGTAATTCCTGAGCGCAGTGCCAGGAGTAACCCCTGAGCATCACAGGGTGTGACCCAAAAAGAAAAAAAAAAAAAGAGTATATGCATGTGTTCGGCCCTGACTGTGCCCATTCCAGCTGGCCTGGGCCAGGAGGGTGTCTCCTGTCGGAGGACAAGTTCCCTTCTCTCCCTCTGTGGCTACGGGCAGCCCCATCAGCCCCCACAGCTCCTTGAGGCTGTCCAGAGCCGCCCGCAGGAGGGTGGCAGGGAGAAGCCGGGGCTCCTTGATTTGACGGGGTACCAGGGGACTTCCTGGGGCCTGATCCTGTAACAGCCAGATGGCAGCCTCATGGCCCTTCCTGCCCTCCTTTCGAGCGAGACTTCACCCAACTCTGTCCTGGTGCCCCCGTTGGGGCTCAGACATGCCAGAGCACCGAGTCCACTCTGGCCCTGAGTCTCCACTGCCCTGGTCCACCCTGGAGCTCTCCTGGGTTGCGCTGGTTTGGGGATGGTGGCCTGAGGAACGAGGCCTGTTCTCTCTCTTTTTTCTTTTTGGGTCACACCCGGCAATGCACATGGGTTACTCCTGGCTCATGCACTCAGGAATCACTCCTGATGGTGCTTGGGGGACCGAACCTGGGTGGGCCACGTGCAAGGCGATCGCTCTACCCGCTGTGCTATCGCTCCAGCCCCATGCTCTCTCTTCTTTACCACGGGGGAGTCAGAGCCAGACACACACAGCCTGGGACAGGGCGGAGAGCCACGTGCCCCTGTTCTTCTGCCCTGGGCAGCAGGTGCACATCGTCCTTTGCGCCATCAAAGCTGCCACATTGCACAGCTGAGGAAACTGAGCCAGGGGAGGGACAGACATGCGCACCAATGAGTCGCTGAGGCGAGAAGCCCAGAAGGAGAGAGGGCTGAGCAGGGCCAGACGAGACATGACCCCACCCATGACCTGAATCTCCGAAGGAGGCCCGTGAGGGGTGGAGGGTGGAGCCGGCCCCTGTCTGCCAGCAGAGGCTGGTGGGGGGGGAGGCCTGAGACTGGGGTCCGAGGACAGAGTGGGGCGGGTGGGCCGCAGCTCACCTGGCTTGGTGACGTGCAGTAGCTCGGGGATGGCGCTGTAGGGCACCTGCCCTTCACTGAGTGCCCCGACTATCAGCACTGCGTCGTAGGTTCCTGTGTAGGACAGATGTGGGGGGTGGCCACCGGCCACCCAGAAGGAGGGACCAGGACAGCCACCCGTGTGGGCCTCACCAGTGATGAGCTGAGGAAGGCGCACAGGGGGCTCCAGGAAGTGGGGTGTGGTGCAGGGAGTCGGGGGCGGGGGCGAGGGGGCCGTACCTTCGGGACTGGGCAGCGATTCCTGGCCCACCATGCAGAGCTGGAGGTTCTGGTAGACACAGTGGGCCCGGGCCTGGGCCAGCATCCCAGGACTCCCATCTATCCCGTCCAGATGCACGTACCCGCGGGCCTTCAGCTGGAGGGCAGGGCGGGGGGCACTCCATCAGTGCCCACGCTGGCCAGAAGCCCGCCAGGTGCCTATCCCTTGGGGAAGGCGGAAGCTGCATCTGGGAGCAGCAGGCGCCGGTGGCTGCCTGAGAGGGCCTCACCTGGGCACCCACCAGGCCAGTGCCACAGGCCACGTCCAGGATGAGGGCTTCAGAGGGCGGGACTTTCAGAGCTTCAATGAGGCACTCCACAGCCAGGGTTGGGGCCCGGTACTGCAGAGTGGTCACGTCCTGGGGACAGAGGGCTGAGCCGGCTACCCTTCCCCCTCCTCAGTTTTGGGGGGTCTGAGTGCCTCTAATCAAGAGTCAGCTACACGACTGTGTGTGTTCTGTGTCTACAGAAGAGGACCCAGGCATAAGGGGTTCCTGGGCAAGGTTGACACTGCCACCTCCTCCAGGCAGCCGCCCCTCTAGGGGCAGTGATCTTGGTCCCCATCTGGTAGGTTGGAGGGAGTGTGAGGGTTCTCGCTTCATCCGAGAGGAAGCAAGCCTCACTGTTCACTGTTCCCACTTTATGGGTAGAAAAGTCGAGTCAGGCTGAGCGGCGGCGAGGCCAGGGGCCGCTTTACCTGGTCATAGGTGGCTGCCCACTGGTCATAGAAATCGAGCTTGTGGGCCAGGTCGGTGATGTTGTGTGAGGTCTTGACCCGCGCCTTCACCTTCTCCAGGTCCGAGTCGTTGTCCTGAGACATCCTGCTGCAGTGGGACAGCTCCCCTCCGTTTCCATCCCGCGCCCCCCCCCGCCCCCAACGACCCCGCTGCCCTGTCCACTCCCGGCAGCGGTCCGCGCGCAATCCCATTTCACAGGCGGGAACCACTAAGCACCGAGGGACTGAACTACTGGGGTTCGGGCTGGAGGAGGGGTCCCCGCGGGGCAGGGGGCCCCCTGGAGAGGACTTGAGGGCCCGGGACTCACCGCCAATCAGCCCAGACCCGGGGCAGGTGGGCGCCGGAAATAGGGGCGGGGCCTGCCTTGGGTCTCTGGCCACGCCCCCTCTCGCTGAGTGGCTCACTTTGAGTCAAGTTACCCAATCAGGAGAAAGCAACGGCAATCCATTTCCCCACCCTCTCCACTACCAGCCAATCAGCTCAGAGCTCCTGGCCCGGCTCCAGCCTCGGAAGGTCTCGGGCTCTCTCCTAACGCTTTCAGGGCTGCGTCTGGGTCCTTCTTGGACCCTTGACGCACTTTGTGCGCCGACGAGCCTCTGCTTTCCGGCTGTGGGAATTCTGAGGGGCAAGGACGTAGCTAGGATCAGCCTTCCAGGGTAGAACGCCCCTCAGGGTCTAGGCAACGCCCTTCCGTAGAACCTCCCGAGGTAACGGAAAAGAGGGGATCCCTGCCCGGGCTGGCAGCCTCCAGCGTGCACTGCTAGAAACCGCAAACGGGGCTCAGGTGCCTGGGGAACTGAGTTTGGACTTGAATTTTAGTTTCAGTCGCTTACGTAGTAGCCACGTGTGGCGAGTGGCCTCGTGACACCGCCGGAGCCTTTGCTTCTCCAAGCCTGGATTCACAGACCTGCTGATTCAGAACCCCCGAACTTGTTAGAAATGCAAATTTCCTGGCCTCACCCCAGACGGGCTGAAAGGGGAGTGGAGCTCTGGCAGGTGCCAGCCTAGGGGGGAGGTGGAGGCTTAGCAAGCCGCTATTTCGATTTCATAAACTCCCGGTGATTTCTCTGCAGCTCAAGTCTCAGAACCCAGCGGGCAAGGCGGGTAGAAATTGTTGCAGGTGTGTGTGAGTGCAGACCCAGGAGGAACCCCTGAGCATTGCCAGATGTGACCGACCCCAAAACAAAAGAAAATCAAACAAATGAAAAATAAAATTCTGGAGCTGGAGGGATAGTACTGCAGGTAGGGTATTTGCCCTGCTTGCAGTCAACCTGGATTTCATCCCTGGCACTCCAGGTGGTCTCCTGAGGCCTGCCAAGGGTGATCCCTGAGCACAGAGCCAGGAGTAAGTCCTGAGCAGTGCCTGGTGTGGTCCAAAAACAAAAATAAGGAAATAAATATAAAATTTTACAGAGTAAATGTTTCTTCGGTGTTTCGTGAACCAGGCAGGTAGAAGGGTGCTCTGGAGAATCATAAAAGATGGATGGCCCTTCTGTTTTTTTTTTTTTTCTCTTTGGGTCATACCTGGTGATGCTCAGGGGTTACTCCTGGCTTTTCACTCAGGAATTATCCTGGCGGTGCTTGGGGGACCACGTGGGGAGCAAGGCAAGCGCCCTACCCGCTGTCCTATTGCTCTGCCCCCTGGACGGCCCTTCTATACCCAAGGGAACATATGGAAGGCAGTGGGGTGTTTCACCTTTATCTGGGGACAAGAGGGGTCCATCAGGCAGCAGGCCAGTTGACACTGACTAGCTAAGGTTGCATTTCTGGGGTCCGGAGTGGTTCAGCAGTGGATGAGCTATCAGGGTGGTCCCAGTGACGCTGATGTTGGGGATTCCCAGAATGTGGTTCCCCATATACCCCATAATCTAGTGTGTGCAGGCGCTCTGTATGGACCATCGCTGAGAGAGTGTGTGTGTGTGTGTGTGTGTGAGAGAGAGAGAGAGACAGAGACAGAGACAGAGACAGAGACAGAGAGAGAGACATGCCCACGATCAAACCCGGAGCTCAGGCATGCGGGGCTTGACCACCTCGCCAGCCCAATGAGGCCAGCTCTTGAGCCCAGGAGAGACCAGGCTGGTGTCAGAGTCTCACTTTGGGGTATAACCAGTGGCACCTGGAACATTTGGGAATAGTGATGTGGCACAGAGTGAAACAATGACTGGGTAGGGTCACACAGCCAGCAAGAGGCCCCCATCTCGGGGCACAGAGCAGCATTGTGTGTGAAGCTGAAGGAACCCCAGAGGGACTCAGAGTGGAGTCCAGGAAGAGGGATTCAGCAAAGGGGGTGGGGCTCAGCTTTGCTCAGCACTGCTGATGAGTGAGAAATGAGGCTACAGAATTGAGCACGGCTAGGGGCTGGAACGATAGTACAGTGGGTAGGGCGTTTGCCTTGCAGGTGGCTGACCTGGGTTCGATTCCCAGTATCCCATATGGTTCCCTGAATACCAGGAGTAATTCCTGAGTGCAGAGCCAGGAGTAACCCCTGTACATTGCCAGGTGTGACCCAAAAGCAGGAAAAAAAAAAAAAGAGAATTGATCATGGCTGGGGTTGGGGCAGGGGGTGGCTGAAGCAGTACACAGATAGGGAGACACTGGCTGCACACGGGTGACTCTGTTCCCTCCCTGGCGTTCTCTGTGTTCCCCTGACCACCTCCAGGACTAATTCCCGAGCACAGAATCTGGAGTAAGCCCTGAGCACTGCTGGATGTGGCCAAACAAATCAAACGAAAAAAAAAAAAACTCAAAAAAACCTGACCACAGGCTAGCATCCTTAGTGGTGTCCTTAGTGGCTGGGCCTCCAGTGTTGGCACACACCATTACCAACATGGACTCTTCTCCCCAGACTCCGTGTTTCTCTGCCACCTCTGCCCGTCGGTGTGCCCGGAGGGCAGAATCAAGCAACAGAATGAGGGTGGGTGCAAGCTATTCCGGGTCCCATCAGACCGTAAATACTCCCGGGTCCTCTGGGTGGGTTAGGGGGTGCCCAGAGGAGAGACACGCTTGGAGGAATCCTGCCCAGCCCCTCCATCTGCCCTGGATGGGCATGAAGAAGAAGGGAATATTCTCCGAACTGAGTCGCTGAGATTTCCGGATGGGCCTGTTGTAATTAATAACCGTCGTTCCCTTCGGGGCGTGACTTTGGCAAGAGCCTTCTTGGAAGAGGTAGACGAGGAAGATGAGATGCCAGCTGCCAACATCCAAACCCAGACGGGCCTGAGTCCAAAGGGGTCGAGGAACGTGCCCCACGGGGTTCAGCTGTGTGTAAGAGAAACTTCAACATGGGCTCAAAGGGGACAGAGTTGAGCAGAGGATCCCGGGACCCCAGGGTGCCCCCAGGGACCTTGGCTCTCACCTGCTCTTTCTGCTACCTTTTGCCTGGTGGCCTTTGTCCCCAGATCTGTCACCGTGACATAAAGAAGGGAAAGGGCAGCATGCTTGGCTAGCTGGACGATCCGCCCCGACTTCTTCTTGATCCTTGGGCGGGTCCTTGGCATGGTGGCCTCACATCTGCATCTCAGTCCTGGGTGCCCTCAATATTCATTGTGTCCCCTAATGTTGACCAGCCCCCGGAAAGGGGGGGCTCAGAGGCCCTTCTCTGCCCCCTCCCCAGTGGTCTTTGCTCCTGCTGGGGTCCAGGCCCCGGGTCCACCCTGTGCCTTACTTTCCTTCGAAACCCCAGGAACACATCTGGACAGATGATCTTGGAGGGGCTCAACAGGAAGACTTGGCGGGGGCAGGGGGCATTAAGATGCTCACACTGAGGGCTAGGAAGGTAGGCGGGAGGCAGAAGTACCGACGGCTCTGTGCTTGCGACAATGGTTCGATTCCTGGCACTCACGTGGCTCCCCACACCAGCGTGACTATACGCCACAGTCCAGCTGTGGTCCCCGAGTCACAAATTTTGGCAAAAGCTCAAATTGGTAGATTTTCCTGCTAAACTGCCCAAGACCCAGCCCAGGACCCTCCCTCAGTCCATGGGAGGGTGGAGGCTCGCTATTGAGAACTATCACCATGGGCCCTTTAAGGAACGGGTGACCCCAATAACCTTCTGTGGCACCCCAGGGTGGTGCCCTCTCCTCACCGACCCTTTCTCCTGCCCCCTGCGCCCCCCCCCCCCAGTCCTACCTGCTGCCTCTCCCAGACTCACGGCCTTGCTTTGCTTCCTCTGATCCTGCTGGCACTTCGAGTCCTGGGTCTGGGGAACCCCAAAACCTGTTGCCCGTTGCTCAGTGACCCCCTCTGGGGCAGGGAGTTCCCCCCTCGTGGCTGATAGCCGTGGTGACAGCCGGCAGGTGGCTGAGAAACACAGGCTTGGGGGCCCGGAGCAGCGCCTGGAGCAGGCCTTTGTGCCACGAGGGACGTGTGGGTGGGGACTGAGTCCTGGGGAAGGACGGCCTTCAGGGGGCAGCGTTGGAGGTCGTGTGTCTGAGTGAGGCTATGGGGCCAGTCAGGGGTTGGGGGCTGACAGGGGTCCCACAAGGCCCAGCAGCCTCCCACCCCCACGGCCCCTTCTTGCTGGTCACACAGAGCAAATGTGCTTGTCGTTCTCCTGCGTCTGGCTGAGACACGTGGGGCCTCATGTGCCAGGCCAGAGGTGACCCCCGTCTGGCAGCCCTGGCTGTGGCCCAGCCCTTGTGGGCTTGGGTGTGGGGGGACCGTGGCCATTATTGGGCAGCTCTGTGCACACAGGCCAGCCCCCAGAGAGCCCACTCGTTGTTGAGTGAGTGCGTGTGTGTGTGTATATATGTGTGAGTTTGTGTGAGTCTGAGTGTGTGAGTGTGTGTGTGTGTGTGCGTGCTGGGCAGCTCTGTGCACTCAGGTCAGCCCTCAGAGAGCCCACTCGCCGTTGTGTGTATGTGTGTGTGTGTGTGCATGCGCGCTGGGAAGCTCTATGCATGCAGTTCAGCCCCCAGAGAGCCCACTTGCTGGTGTGTGTGTGTACGTGAGAGTGTGTGTGAGTGTGTGTGTGCGCGCGCTGGGCAGCTCTGTGCATACAGGTCAGCCCTCAGCCCACTCGCCGGTGTGTGTGTGTGGTTATGTGTGTTTAAGTGTGAGTGTGTGTGTATGTGTGTGTGTGTTCGCGCAGGCACGCGGGAGTGCCCGGGACATTCCCCGGAAGCGCCTGCCCTGTAAAGGTGCCGGGGTGTGTGTGTGTGTGTGTGTGTGTGTGTGTTTGTGTGTGTGTGTGTTTGTGTGTGTGTGTGTGTGTGTGTGTGTGTGTGTGTGCATGCGTGCAGGAGTGCCCAGGAAGCTCCTTGGAAACGCCTGCCCTGTGAAGGTGAGCCAGTGAGTCTGGCCCAGCTGTTGGCCCAGGGGCTCAGCACCGTCTCCACGGCCCTGCTGGCTGG